TCTCTCTTTGTAGATATTGAGAGAACTAAAATACTCAAGATTTTTCTCCCTACCCCTGTTCTCCTACTTCCAGACAAATTCAGAGTCCATTCTACTTAGGGGCTCCAACACAGACTTCACTCTTCTGAGAAGCAGAACGCAACACAGCTATGGAACGAAATATAAAAATATAACCTATTCTGAATGCAACTTAGTTTTTCTTCCTATTCATAGCAAACTCGTTATACTTAGTCATGATTCATTTCTAGCCACCTATTGAAATCAGAAATTCCCTGAGTTCACCCACCATGGATTGGTAACAAGGAGGGAACTTGGTCAACACTGGTTCTTAGATCAAACTTGGGGCAAAAGAAATAACAAGTAATTGTGAAATAGCTTGGAGTCAGGTATCCTCCCTAGACTAATTTCTGGGTTAGGTTTTGTTTTTGTTTTTTCCTTTTTCTGTGTTGCTGTTTTTGCTCAGAACTAATATGTGGGAAGTTTCAAATACATTTATGAGCATACGTTCATCATGGACAAACACAATTTGTGGTTTGCTTTGGGATGCAAGATCTAGTCAATAATTTTATCTCAGGATGAGGGATTAATAGCTTTTCTTGCCTCATCAAAGCTTTCCATAAGATTCTTGTTAAAAGCCTCACCTGAAGGCTCCAATGGCAAGTTTTTTATTGGAGTCCATTGTACTGTGTATGGAAGCCATCCACTCAGGAGCAGTCTGGACTTTTGACCCCTTAGGGCAGTTGTTCTTAACCTTTCCAGACTATCTTACCCTTTTTAGGAGTCTGATTTGTCTTCTGTACCCCAAGTTTCACCTCACTTAAAAACTACAAAAGTGTCACAGCACACAATTACTGAAAAATTGCTTACTTTCTCATTTTTACCTTATAAAATAAAACTATTGGAATATAAATATTGTGCTTACATTTCAGTGTATCATATATAGAGCTGTATAAAACAAGTCATTGTATGAAATTTTAGTTTGTACTGACTTGGTGAGTGCTTTTTATGTAGCCTGTTGTAAAACTAGGCAAATATCTAGATAAGCTGATGTACCTCCAAGGGTATGCATACCTGTGGTTGAGAACCACTGCCTTAGGGTACTTCACCTTGGAGGGTTTCCATTAACTCCATGATTTCAGAGTTAGAGTAGTACTGGAGTTTTGGTGCACCTCTTAAGTAGTTCTTGCCTGACTGAAAGCTAGACACATGTGTCTTACTATCAATGTAGACTGAGGCCCTCTCAGATGGTCATAACATTCTCATGACACACTGTATCTTCCCTACGGCCTTGAATTTGGTATCTATTTCAGTGTATAAGTATGAAAAAGGAAAAAAAACCTCAAGTTTCCAGTTTAAAGTTCTTTTTATCTAGAATGAATTTTATAAGATTGAAACAAAACTACCTTTTTCTTTGATTCAGGGTTTCAACACTCTACTATAGGTTCCAGAAATATGTATTTGATTTAAACAACATAATCTTGTAAATTGGAGGGTTTTGTGTTAAGAGAAAAAAATTAAGTGCGGGAACTCCAGTTGCACGTAAATATTGGTTAACACCTGAAATTAAATTAAATGAACTCTAAAAATAGCAACTTTTTTTAACTAGTCTGCAGAACATGGCCCCAGTTGCAAACCACAAACATGAAACCAGTCCAAAAGAGAGTGAAGCAGCCAGTGTTCAAGAGCAAGAAGGGATTATTTCTTCTTTTGCGTTAGCAGTACAATCTTCAAGAGAAAATCAAACAGCAGGTATGGAAAAGAGACTGTCAGTTACACGGAGATATACATTGGGAATTAAATGTTACATATGTAATATACATTCTGATTGTTTTCTGATGCTCTGAAATTCTTGTGTAGTGTAAAGAAATCTAAACTAATCTGGGTCTTGCATGTATATTTTTTCACCTATTGGGGAGGGATGGACAGAGACCCAGCCAATTTCCCAATGGACGAATCTCAGAAACACACTGTTTTCAGAGGTTTAAATGCAGATCTTTTGGAGGCAACTAGTTCGAGGATGAGAGAGGGTTCCCAGAAGTTTCTCTTGGCTAGAGCAAATCGTTCCCTGTCTCCCTCCAGAACACCCTCCTCCCAAATCCTCTGCACATGTTCAGTGCTGTCTAACTCCTTTCTACTGGTTCCAATCAGCTCCATGACTTTCTTCTGTAGGTCATTTCACCAAAGGCATCTATTCTAAACACACACTTTCCTGCTGTTGATCCCCTTTCCTGATCCTTGCAGGTATGAGCTCCTTGACTGGAGCATAGATACTACAGTGATGAGGGCCATATTAACACTAGATAGTTCCCAATTTAGGCATTCGATTATGAACCAGCAAAATAACAGAGAGGTTGGTGTGTGTCTCCCCAGAGGTCAGGAGGGATGCCAGAAGTGGAAAAGACAGGGTGGTTGCAAATACCTTAATGACGCACTTTGCAAGAAAATCAAAGTGCTGGGGGGACGGACAAGTTGCTTATGAAATGGGCAGATGGAATGATCAATACTTGAAGTGATCAGGAGTTGTTTGGTGCCAGGGAGGAATAAGGAAGTGCAGATGTGATGTAAGGATAAATAAACAAGGCAAACGGCACAGTCCTTTCCATGACTGCTTAGTTCAGGCCAGGACTAGGAAAGATCATTTGTGGTGACATTATAGGGAAGGTTTAGTTACTCTTAGCTAGGGAGCATAACAGGGTTATGGCTATGTCTAGTAAACTCAATAAAGAATTCTCTTCATATTCATTAACCATCAGTCCTGTATCCATTGTAGTATGTGACACTACAACTGTCTGCTCTGCAGAGGTACAATTACTTGTGTGAGCAAATATCTTCCTTAAGAACAATGTAAATTCTTCTCTTTAAATAGCATTATTTTCACTATATAATGTTGATTTTAAAAAGTTTCTTTTGATTATTTTAACCTTTACTTGCATAACACCTTGCTCACAAATTTCATGCTGCTTGAAATATTTTCAATTTGTTTAACTTTTGCCTTCTGTGACATTTATTTTTTTAATTTCTCTTTTCAGGAAAAAATCTGCCCTCTTCACCAGAGTCCCCACCATCACCAGCTCTATCAACGCAACCACAGCTCACAGAAGGATCACATTTCATGTGTGTATAGTCTCAGAGAAGTACGTCTGCTTTTCAGTCATGCTATTTTTCTGGGTATACTGGGTTTTCTTTGAGAAACACACACAGACAATTTTATTAAGTAGGGTGAAGGTAGCTGAGATGTATATATCACTCAAACAAAACAGGAATGTATTGATTCTTTGAGTAGGTGCAGCTGCGTATTCAACTGAGGTGTGTTCGCACCTAGCACATTGGAGCTGGAGAATTTGGCCGAGCAGTACTGTTAGAAGGTCACCGCTCACAGTTTGTGGCCATAGCCCCTCCTCTGGCTATATGAGGTAGCACTCCCCTAACCTCTGTCTGTTCCTTCTTACCACCCGTGGCTGGAGTCAGAGCTCTGTGTGGTTCCTAACCTCACAACCTCTCTCTTTCTTAGATGCCCCTGGCGTCTTGTCCCTTTCCACTTTTGTCTCAGAAGACTACGTTCCTGATAGCAATAGCATCCACAGGAGAGTCTGTTGCAGTCTGTGATGGCAGAGCCTCCTTACATACAAACCTCTAAAGACAAACTGACTTTATGACCACATCTCAAAATTTTATCTGAAGTGGTTTTTCAGCTTCATTTGAACCAGGCGGTATATTTACCTGTGTTTTTTCCTAAGTTGCATTCATCACTGGAAGAGCAGCATTTCCACACATCAGATGTCAGGCAATGTCTAGGCTTTCTATTTGGACCGGACTAAACTGTTTTGTGCTTCACCATGCCTGTTCACGTCACATACAGATCATATGAAGGGTCCGGTGGTCTTTTCACAGTCTCTAAATGAATAACCTCCTTTATCATGACTTCATATGAAATAGCTTCAACTACGCCTCCTTCAGCGGATGCGAGCTAGTTTTATGAGAGTGCAAACAACATCAATAGCATTCTTCAGTGCATTTCAGTATTGTACATTTTCAGGGCTGCTACATGCAAACCATCCAGTCATTACTGCATCTTCCAGGGTGGATGCTTGTTTCAATGGATGGTCCTGCGGTCATTGTTTATGTAGACTCTGAGCCCCGCCTCCTGGGGCTACTGCTTGTGGGCCAGTGAAGTGGAATACATGGCTGCATCTACTTGAGGAAGAAGAAACCTTTTCTTACTGTAACTGTGGCTCTTTGAGATGTGATGCAGATGTGTATTCCACAACCCACCTCTGTCCCCTCTGCGTCACAGTTTCTGTGGGCACTCAGTGTGAAGGAACTGAGGGGGTTCGGGACTGCACTTACATAGCCAGGAGAGGGGCTGCGGCCAGGAGGCACAAGTATTTTCCCTCTACAGGTACTACTAGGTAAAATTCTCTGGTTCCCATGCACTGGGCACATGGACACACCTAAGTGGAATACACATCTGCATCACATTTCAAAGAACCACAGTTAAAGTAACTGTTCCTTACATGCATATAATCCATACAGTATTCAGATATGGTAGCAGTAGTTAGAAATGGAAAGGACCAATTAGCTCATCAAGCATATTCGTTTGTAATGGTAGAATAACAGTCCCTTGATAAGAGATATTAAATTGTAATGAAACACATGCTTATGCAGTCAAGGTAAAAATGTATCAGTATTTGGGTGTTGTAACACCCAAAGGCTCCAATCAGGATCATAGCCCAGTTGAACTATGAATTGTACATACTGTATGTTCCTAAGAGTTTAGAATCTAATTGAAGACAAATAAGTGTGACTTGATAAATAGTAGGAGGGAAAAGGATGGGAGGAAAAGGAGAGCAATAATAAAAACACACAGTTAGGCTCACTGTGTGTGTAGAATTTGATGGTTCTTTATATTTGTAGGAATCAAGGTAGAAATCATTAGCTTGGTCAGAAGAAATGCTCTTATTCTATATGATGATATGATGATCTATTATATAGATAGGTATCACATTATGATATACAGACAATGGAACAATGATCAAACAATCAGTTTCTAACCACCTAGAAGACAATAAGGTGATCAGTAACAGTTAACATGGATTTATATCCTTCTTTCACAGGGTAACAAGCCTTGTGGATAGGGGGCAGCAGTAGATGTGATATATCTCAACTTTAGTAAGGTTTTGATACGGTCTCACATGACCGTCTCATAAGCAAACTAAGGAAATACAGCCTAATATGAACCTACTATAAGGAAGGTGCGCAACTGGTTGGAAAAGCATACTCAGAGAGTAGTTACCAGTGGTTCTCTGTCAAGCTGAAAAGGCATATTGAATGATGTTTCGCAGGGATCTGTCCTGGGTGCTGTACTCTTCAATATCTTCATAAATTATTTAGATAATGGCAGAGAGAATACGGGTATAAAGTTTGTAGGTGATACCAAGCTGGGAGAGGTTGCAAGCGCTTGAATTAGAATTCAAAATGATCTTGACAAACTGGAGAAGTGGCCTGAAATAAATAGGATGAAATTCAATAAGAACTAATGCAGTACACTACTAATGTAATACACTAAGGAAGGAATAATCAGTTGCAGAAATACACAATGAGAAATGACTGCCTAGGAAAAAGTAATTGCAGAACGGCTCTGGGGGTTATAGTGGATCACAAACTAAATATGAGTAAACAATGTAATACTGTTGCAAAATAAAGCAATCATTCTGGGATGTATTACCAGAAGTGTTGTAAGCAAAACATGAAATTCTTCCACTCTACTCAGCAATGATAAGGCATCAGCTGGAGTACTGTGTCCAATTCTGGGCACCACATTTTGGGGAAAATGTGGACTTATTGGAGCAAGGCCAGAGGAGAGGAACAAAATGATTGAAGGTCTAGAAAGCGACTTACAAGAAAAGATTGAAAAAAATGGGTTTGTTTAGTTTGGAGAAGAGGAGACTGAAGGGGGGTATAAGTACATAAATGACTGATTGTTATAAAGAAGAGTATGATAAGTTGTTCTCCTTATCCACGGAGGACAGGACAAGGAGCAATGGGCTTAAATTGCAGCGAGGGAGATTTAGGTGAGACATTAAGAAAAACTTCCTAGCTGTTAGGGTAGTTAAGCACTGGAAGAAATTACCTAGGGAGATTGTGGAATCTCTATCATTGGAGGTTTTAAGAACAAGTTAGACAAACATCTGTCAGGGATGGTCTAGATAATACATAGTCCTGCCTCAGTGAAAGGGATTGGGCTCGATGACCTATCTAGGTCCCTTCCAGTCCTACATTTCTATGGTTCTGAGAGTTCCTGTTTGTTGAATGTGAGTGAAAATAGAAGTAAGCTGGTTTGTTTATAAAGGTATTTAAAGAAACTAAGGGATACAGGTCAGAACGTTTTAACACTTTTACCAGCACTTTAATTAGTCAAAACTTCTACATTGTCAGGGAATATCTTTTAAAATAAGCCTTCAAGAAAAGGCAATCAAAAGAATATGCCTTGTTTCATTGGTCCTGTAAGGCCATCTAACTAGGAAAGGAGAACTTTGTCAGTTTTTAAAAGATGCTTCCTTAGTGAAGTTTAAAAACGCATAACCTAGTTCGTATAGGGCACCTGTTTTGTTTTAACAAAGTCATAATGGCATGCAATGTGATACTTTCTTGTATTAGTAATAGGCAGAAAGAGGTATTACCTCTTTGTTAAAGTGAAATGGTTTTCATCTCTTCTTTCTTGTCCATACAAAAACATCACATGCAGCCTTTGTTGCTATTGATTTTCATGAACAGTATATAGCAAGTCATGTTCAGATTCAGGTTGTTTCAAACTTAATATTATAGTAAAAATATTTCAAATGGTAAATCATGATATGCACTTTCAGAATGTAGAAATAGAGCTGTTTATATACAAATCAAATAGCGTATATATAAATACACACAAACATTGGAGCGGTGTATGTATATATTCTGGGCCTTTAAGTAGGGCTGTCATTACCCAACCAACCTTTTCTTTTACATAGTTTCAATTCAGTGGACTGACTGGAGCTAGACTCTACTGGTTATAGCTCTGTTAGCTTCCCCCACGCGGATCAATCTCTGTGTCTGTCCTAAAAGGGAACAACCTGGCATTCTTCTTCGAGTGATGGTCCCTATGTGTATTCCAAACACTGGTGCCCATTCGCCGGAGCTGGAAGTTTTTCAGCAGCAGTGTCTGTTGACCTGCACGGCCACCTTATGTTGCCACATGCTCCAAATGAGGTCATAAGAGGCCTTGTGGGGCAACATGCCCTTGGTTCCCTCTTACCGCATGGCTGGAGTTGGAATCCTCTTTATGCTCATACCCTCTATGAGAACAACTGTATGTTGTAAATAGTTAGCTCTGTTTTCTTTCTCTTCATACTTCTGTACATATGTTAGTTTAGTTAGTGTATATAGCTCCTCATGGGGCCTCTCCCGACCCCGTCAGGGGATTATGCCCTGTGTTCCGGGGTTCAAGAATTGTACTTCGTGCTCTCGCTCGTTCTTCGTGAGTGATGAGCACATGCGTGCTCTCGCCTGCCTGGGCAAGACAACCCTTGTCACTCACTGCAATATATGCAAATCCTTCCCCTCAAGGACCCGCAACACTTGACTTCAGCCCATCTGCAAGTTTCTCATTGTGAAAGTGCTGCTCTGGCCCCAGGCGGAGTCAGATCCTGTGCCGGTGATGCACCGACCATCACCGGCAGTGAGCGTCTCGCCCTTGGCTTCACCTCTGGGTCCATCAGCACTGCCAAGATGTGAGAAGGTACATAAGAACAGTCACAAGCGCTCTCACACCGCAGCAGGTCCCCATCGTGGACCATTGTGCAAAACTGCGTTTCTTCCCCAATCTGGGTTCGGTCGGGTAAGACATTGCATGGTGATCCTGCAGGGCGATCACCTAAGGCGGGGCAAGGTGCAGCAGAAGCAAGACCTGCCAGTTCCCGCAGGGACTGAGGGTCCCGACCGCCCACCAGTGCACACTACTCAGCTGTCGCAAGACACTCTGGGCTCCACTCTGCATACCCCTCCTCAGAGCGACAGACAGCGGGATGTGCCCTGGACACCGGGCCAGCTGGATCTGCTGGTCTCCCACCTCAAGCTGTTGTACCCACCCTTGCTGCTTCTCTCAGCCACTCCACCCCCCGTCCACCTTCACTGGTGGATGAGCCACTCCTCCTCAGTCACAGCCCACCCACACTGGTTGCAGTACTGCCCAAACCGATGACTTGTCCACTTCCAGAGGTTTTTTCGGACTAGGAGGGCTTCTCAGCGGACAACCCGTCCTTCTCCCTGGTCTTGCGGCATAGTGTGGACTCCTGGGCTTGCCCACCATTTCTGACCCCCTATGCTCTGGGCCTTCCTCCCAATGGCCCACTTCACCACCCTCATAGCCCTTGTGAATGCCCTGTGCTGCAACCCACGCATGAGGGTGCGCCGTCATCTCTGCCTCCTTGGCCACATGGTGGCCTTTACCTATGTCACACTGCACATACATCTCACCAGGACCACGGCAGGGTTTGCCACCCTAACCAAAACCCTCTCCAATTGATGGCCTGGTTTTTGGATGGGGCTCAGGTGTAGAGAATGCCTGTTCATCACCTGTCCACTGTATTCTCTCACACAGTAAGCGAGAGTCTACGAGGACATGCTACACCACAAAATGGATGCGCTTCACCTCCTGGGCACAGCGCTGACACCTCCCCCTCTACAGTGTCTCTGTGCCTGTCATCCAAGACCACCTCCTAGAGCTCAAGACCTCAGGTTTTGCAATTAGGTCAGAGACACACACCCTCCCCCGCCCCGTGGACAGACAGTTGATATTTACACACCCTACCACTACCCAGTTTCTGAGGAGCCTGACAAACTGTTTCCCACCAGTCCTTACCCCACTCCCCTTGGAACTTCAACTTTGTCCTGTCTGTGCTCACCTGACCTCCATTCAAACCACTGGCTACATGCTCCCTGGCCTACCTAGCCATGAAGGTCCTCTTCCTGATGGCTATCACCTCTGCTGAGTCAGCAAACTGGCGACCATGGTAGCTGACACCTCATATACAGTTTTCCATAGATACAGTCTCCCTGTGCCTCCACTCAAAAGTTGTCTATAAGTTTAATCTCAATCAGTCCATCCATCTTCCTATCTTCCACCCTAAACCACGTGCCACTCCCGCAGACAGTACGCAACACTCCCTGGATGTCGGCAGGGCACTGGCTTTCTACCTGGACAGAACTCATGCACCTCATCATGCCTCTTCATAGACATAGGTGAAGCACGTCCATTGTGGAACAGTCCAGAGGGCAGCCCCTTTCCTCACAGCGTATATCCAATTGGATCTTGAAGTGCATTACAGAATGCTACACGCGCTCCAACGTGACACCATCTGGCAGGCTCCACCTCCGCCTCCTTGGCATGAGATCTGCCATGCAGCAACATGGCACTCTGTTCACACCTAAACAGTGCACTATGCCGTCGACCAGTAGGCAGCCAATGGGCAGATGCCACTATAGGTCATGCCACTGCAGCAGGTCTTGCCCATTGTGTCATTGCTCCCCTGTCTGAGTTGATCACTGCTTCGTACTCACCTGCGTTTGGAATACATGTAAGGACCATCACTTGAAGAGAAGGTTGCTACCTGTATCTGGAGGTTCTTGAAGATGTGTGGTCTCTATTTGTATTCCAATACCCATCCACCTTCCTCTCTGCTGCAGACTCATTATACTGCAGTAAGAGGGAGACTGAGGGCGTGTCGCCCTGCACGGTCTCCTGTAATGTCACATGGAGCACATGGCAACATAAGGTGGCCATGTGGACCAATGGACACTGCTGCTGAAAAATTTGGGGCGCATGGTGTGCTGCGCACCTGTGTTTGGGATACCTATAGAGACCGTACATCTCGAAAAACCTCCAATTACAGGTAAGGAACCTCTTCTTCTCTTGAGCAGATACTACCAATTGTGTCCAATTGCATTTGGCTCTGTCATGTGCATCAACGATGAGCTCTCCAAAGCCATTTTCTCTAAGTATTTATGCTACAATATGAATTCAGGTCTGCAGATGTGAAAGACTGGTAATCTCTTTTGCTGCCTAAGACACTAACCCCAACATCCTACACAGTTGTGTATGTGAAGGTGGTGTTGTGTCCATAATATTGCCACCTTAGATATGCTTCCTCAAGTAACACTGACCTGCTGAGGACAAAATAATATATTCCTAGATGGTACTTCTAAAATGGACTCTGTCTCTAATTCCCTAGTTTTAGTAAAGCCAGGGATATTAGAGCCTAAAAATAGTTTCCCTCTGTTCAGTATCTGAATTTAGTTGGAGACATTAGTCCATTTCCTAATGTATATCTCATATCTGCACTTGACACACTGGTTAGCAGTCTCATGAGAGCCCCAATATTGAATGGTCATTGTATAGCTGGTTTCATATCAGGGTTAATTCTAGGCCTGGAAAACAAGAATTCCATGTCATGAAAAAGATTTTGACATTTGGTTTTGTTCTACGTGGCGATGAAACCTAGACCTTCTGAAAGGTTTTTGCAAAAAAATTAGAGGGAGACTCTCATGAAGGCTCAAGTCCCCGCCATGCATGATTTGGAGCAGGGACTTGAACCCAGGTCTTGGGCTAAGCCTACTCGGGAGGGGGAGGTGTCGACCTAAGATACACAACTTCAGCTACGCGAATAGCGTAGCTGAAGTTGGCGTATCTTAGGTTGATTTACCTGGCCGTGAGGACGGCGGCGAGTCGACCGCTGCCGTTCCCCCATCGACTCCGCTTCCACCTCTCACCGCGGTGGAGTTCCGGAGTCAACGGCAGAGTGATCGGGGATCGACTTTATCACGTCTACAATAGACACGATAAATCAATCCCCGATAGATCGATCACTACCCACCAATCCGGCGGGTAGTGTAGACATACCCTTGCTCATCCCAGAAGATTGCACTAGCCACTCTGCTATTTGACTGTTCTGGGGTGGGCCTTTTCTTCCCCCACTCCCATTGAAAACAATACATTTCCACAAAAAGTTTGTTTCAGTAAATCAGCATTTTCCAACTAAAAAAATGTTTTGTCAAAAAATTCCTGACCCATTTTAGTTGAAACACAATGAAGCACAGTGTGTGGGAGCCTGCACTGCTGCTGCCCACAATATACTTCTCTGACTAAAGGTCTTTCACCAGGGCTGTCAATCAAACACCTTTCTTAAGCACTATCCAATGCATTTAAAATGTTTGTGGAATGTGAGGAGCATTGCTGTTACCCATGACTAATTTAAGAGCTGTAATTTCCCAAATGAAACAACAAACATACCAGGCTGTGAACAAGTTTCCTGTCCTGTAGGAGGAGTTTAATTTTTTAAAGCAGGAACTTATTTACTCAGTGGGATGCAAACTATCGGGCAAGAAATCCTCTGCAATAGAATTTATAAGTTGGGGGGTGCATTTCAATTCATAGGCCAGTTTTTAAGACCAGGTCTGGGAGATGCATGATGGGTTTCAATAAGGCAGTGGAATTTGGAAAAGGAAAGTGGTGCTATGTGGTATCATAGGACTAAGGAGAGAGCTTATTCTATATCACAAGTATATTGTTACATTTTAAGCATGCTGATATATGCTTAAATACAGTTTAATAGAGTGATGATGACATTTATTTAGAATCTTTCATCCCAAACACTGCATTACATCATAGCAAGTGAAGAGTACTGCGTCCTGTTCCTAATCTTGCCAGTCCTTTGGTACAGCATTTAGGGGCTTTGCTACAAATTTTACATGGAAAGCACTTAGTTACTGTATTGATGGTGGCAGTATAAAACCCTAAAATGGTTCTTTGTACAAAAAAAACCCGTTTGTTTCAGTTTATTTGTGAATTGCTGTCAAAATAGCTTTAATGCCTAAAAAAATAGGTTGTGGAAACTAATTTTTTCTTAGATTCTCTTTAATAATTTAATTTACTTTGCAGATAGCCACAGTGAGGTCAGAATCTCCCCATCATGCCTAATCCTAAGAGGTACTTTATGCAGTGTTTTGGTAAAATACAGTAACTTGATCTATGTCTGTCTTTCAGCTCTTAACAGATTCTGTTGAAACCATTCATGGCCGAGGAGTACGGACCTATGGAAATATAAGAAGATATTGTAGAGTATATTTTAAATCTATGAAATTCATAGTTCTGATGCTTTTGGCCACAGAGCATCATTTTATAACTTCCTGGAAAATGTTTATTCCAAGACAGCTTTAAATGGCCCATATGTACACTCAACAGTCTGAAGATCGTTCTTCCGATACCAGCCTGCTGCTATGATTTCCATGCACATAAAGATTCTTTTTCATATGCAGCCTAAAGTCAGAATCTTAGTTGATGTTTTACAGAATTTAATGTTTTTAATTATGCAATCATTTAAGTTTGCATTTTTGCTTCTTTTAGGTACATAACAGATCAGTTTCTTTTACATATCACCACTAAACCTTGTTTTACATTTTTTAAATACTAGTGTATTTTGACATTTGATTTGTAAAATTTTTATATATATTTAAAATGTGCCATTTTTATTATTGCTGAGTAAAGTATGTCCTGTTTCTGCTGTAATTATTTCTTGGTCAGGTTGCAGCATCAGCAGTTACTGCCACACTGTTATCACATATACATGAATATTTGTGCTTACTTTTTCTTAAACAAAATGAAGTGTAGGTATTTTGAGGTACTGGGCTCTTTGTTGGAATAGGGTGTGTACAGCAATAAGCAGGCTTTCAATTCCAGTACTTAGTTTGTGTACAAATGTAATTATGTTCATTGTGTATATATTATACAATGAGCACATCCAATGTAAGTATAAGAAGCCACTTACTATTGTTCAAATGCAAATGTTCATATCTCATTTCTTTTTTATCATGTTAAATAAATGTTAATGTTCTTAAGTTGTGTGGGTAGTATTTCTTTCAGCAAGCAGATGACGGTGTACTCATCATGACTCTGTGGGGGAAGCACATCTTAATAAGGGTTATGGGCCTATTACAGCAGTGGTTCTCAACCAGTGGTCCAAGGCCCCCCAAGGGGGCCTGCAAGCAGGTTTCAGGGGGGCTGCCAAGCATTAGACTCCCTGGGGCCCAGGGCAGAAAGCCAAAGCCATGCCATGTAGAGTTGAAGCCTGGGTCCTGAGCACTGCCACCTGAGGCTGAATCCGGAGCTTGAGCAATGTAGCTTTGTGGGGGCTCCTGTGGCATGAGGCCCAAGGCAATTGCCCTGTTGCTACCCCCTAACACTGGCCCTGGCTTTTATATGCAGAAAACCTGTTATTGTAACACAGGTGGGTCTTGGAGTTTTTATAGCATGTTGGGGGAGGCCCGGAAAGCAAAAGGTTGAGAACCCCTATATTACAGGATTAGTTGGAGGAGGGTCTGTGATGTGCAGGAGATCAAACTGTATGATAATGATGGTCTCTTCTGGCCTTAAACTGAGGCTATGTCTACACTAGAGAGCATACAGCGGCACAGCCGTATCAATGCAGTTGCACTACTGTAAGATCTCTCGTGGAGCTGCTCCCAGGCCGATGGGAGAGAACTCTGTCGACATAATTAATCCACCCCCACGGCGGGAGACGCTCTCATGCCAACATAATGCTGTGCACACTACTACTTATGCTGGTGAAACTTATGTTGCTCAGGGTAGTGGAATATTCACACCCCTGAGTGACAAGTTTTACTGACATAATACGTGATAGTGTAGACATAGCCTTAGTGACATCACCTCCACACAAGAGCAGCACTGGTAGACACTTAAGGGATTCCACCTTGCCCAGCTGGAAGTAGTGCCCATAGCACAGAGCAAAAAGACAGCCTTGTGGCTGGTACTCGGGAAGAAATTTGGGTTCCGTTCCTGGCTCTGCCACGCTTTCCCCTGTGACCTTGGGCACGTCACTTTGTTGCCTTTTGCTTCAGTTCCAAATCTGTTTATGTAAAATTGTTCATCTCCTAAGGATGCTGAGAGGATTAAATTATAATTTTTAAAAGGCATTAAGACATTAGAGTGAACTCCATGTATGGTAGGGGTGAGAAGAGGAATGAGATGATTCCTCAGGGCTCTGATGTTTGCACATCATCTTCCAGGAACCAAAAAGCAAACGTAAAATCATTTGTCGTGCGTGTCCTCTTATTACACACACTACTGGTTTCACTTCTCTATCCCCCACTGCTGTCTGAACTGGTGTGAGTAGAGACTGATTGTGCACATTTTTAGAAAAGGATAATGAAAAGTAGATTTGAAAGAAAATCATTTGGATCCCAACTGCAAAGAACTGAAATCTTTTTTTGTTTGTTTGAAACTTCAATACATTTTCACTTCTGGGAGAAGGCAGTCAGACTGTCAGAGCTGTTTTTAAAACCGAACAGCAATGTTTGCTGAAGACCTCATTCAACTTCTCACTGACTTACCTATTCATTCAGTATCTTGGGCCAAACCCACATAGAAGTCGTTGAATCCCCAGTGGTGCAGCACATACTTCAGATAAGGGTCTAAAATATGGGTTTCACTTCACTGTGGGTGTGTTTAAATCGCGCACCAAGTTCTGTGGTTGTTTAAATGCAGAGAAGTGAGGAAAGGGAAGGGCACCACGGGGCTGTTGTCTTGGCACTAGCCAAAGAGCGAATATGATTAGTGATCTGGAACCTTCTTGGGCCTTGTCTTCACGTAAAAGGTTTGCTGGTATAGCTATACCAGCAGACCCTCATAGTGTAGATGCAGTTTATACCTGGAAAAAAGTCCTTTTGCCGGTAAAGCTTATATTTATTCCCTGAACAAAATAAGCTATGTCTGCAAAAGAGAGTTTTTGCCAGTATAACAGTCTACACTAGTTTTTGCTGACACAGCTATGTTAGCAAATAATCACATCCTTCTAATCAACACAGGTATGCCAGTGTGTCAGGCCTCAGAATTTCCTCTGCATTTGCACTGAAGATTTGAAGTACAATTGGGTGCTTGAAACTATTTTCAACTGTTTGGAAAAGTAAATTGATTAAAAAAGCAGCTACTTCCCTTTCTCCTGCCTCACCAGAATTTCTCTGTTGCACTTATCTTTTAACTCTCCGCCCACTGGTCATGCTTTTGAAATGTTCACCGCTAAACAAGTGAATCCCTAGATTGTCAGCCTGGAAATAGCTATATTTTAAGTCTGTGTCTAGGTTATTTTTTTAAATTTCTGATTGATTGCTTCATTGGCTACTGTGCTGACATTTGTACATAGTTTGCTTTTTTCCTCAAAAGCAGGGTCTCTTAGGAATATACGACAGACACATGCTCTACAGATGTTCATGCTCTTCAAAACCAATTACATCTCCTTCCGTCTGGAGCTTTTGTTCACCACTTGCATTGTTCCAAGAAGACTAAGGAATGTGGTCCTTTCAAATTCCTGAATAAAGTAACATCACTAGAAAAGCTGTACTTTATGTCCTGGGAATTTCTTGTGCAAACTGGTCTGGGCCAGTTCAGGAGTAGATAGATCATCCAGCAGTTAAAACCCGACTCTGATTCGATGTCATGATGGGGGGAAGGGGGAACTTTCTATTCAAATCATCTTTTTGTTGTTGTTGTTGTAAAACATAAAGGAACTTGACAAAAACACTGAGATTATTTTTTCAAACAATCAAAACTACTTTTTTTTCTTCCTACCTAAATTAATGTGCATTAATCAAGTTGAAAGTAAACTTTTACAGTTCCACTGGACATAACTAGGATTACATATAAGAAATGTTTGTAATATTAGCTGCTATTCCACTGCCCAGTGAAGTAATTTTGAGTCACTTTTGTCACTGGTGTTAAGCAATAGATTAGATGAAATCCTAAGTGTAACAAAAGATCCTGATTAATGCAGAAGACTGGACTGGATGGTCCAAGAAGTTCTTTCCCCTCCCTCCTAACTTTTGTTGCTCTGTAAACAGAGGTACAATTTTGGTTTGGTACAATGATCTGTGAAGCATCAAGTGAATGGCATGGAATCATGGGACTCAAGATTAAGAACCAGATCACTGTGTTTTTTCCTCACCGGTGTCTTGTGTTTTGGATCCTGTGCACGCTTACTCCAGAGTTGGATTCTGCTATCCCCTTACTTATATTTTGTAATGTTCTGGAGTAGTCTAGCTAATTTCAATAAGAATATTCAAAGTATTCAACATGTGGAATCTGGCCCATCATTTAGAAAGATGACACTTTACATTGACTTGACCATATTAAAAAAATGCATAACTGCTGGTAAATCTGAGGAATAAACTATTGAACTAATTTTCCCAAGCATGTGCACGCAGGGTATACCATAGCAAATCTGGCCTTCATCAAACTGAATTATATTAAGGTGTTAAAGTACGAAGCTAGTCTTCACCGCAATCACACACAGCTAGCATCAGTAGGATTACATGGTTAGTTTTCCAACCCTAGTATAGATAAAGTTTGAGAGTGGTACTTAGACTGGATTGATTTATGCTTGGGGTAAAGAAAACTCTGAAACACAAAACTATTCAGAGGAGACTATTATGGACTTCAAAGGATTACAATAGTTGGACTTGGAGCAATGCTCTTACTAACCTCTTTGCTGTTCTTCCTGTCCCTAATATACAAAATTAAATGCCCCACCAGCACTGTCCAGGGGTGTGTGCAACAGAATGGTAACACTTCAAAGAATGATGGTGTTAACTTTTTGGTCACAATAGTTTTTTGTTGAATTCAGTGTGGGTGAAAGTTGCTGCGTCTGGTGACTGAAGTTCCTCTTTAGCCACAGAACAAGCACAACCCTTCAGGCTTGCCCCACACTGCTCTCCATTGGGAGTTTGAAAACAAACAGTACCTCGATCCTTAAATTTGCAAACAGATTTTAAAAAAAATTCTCTGAGTTATGGAAGAGCCTTTTACATCACAATTAAATAACTCCTGGGGTTGTGTACTTGAAGCGATGTTCATGTGCTCCAGAGTGGAAAGTCACTATGCATTTCACCATTGGTTCAACAAGGCCCCGCAAGATTAAGGTCCCATGCTGGTGTAGGGGTTCGTATTTCGGGGTAGATGTTACGAAGGCCCTTAAGAAAACATTTAGTGGTTGGGTGAGCAAAAATGGATAACTCACCCATCTTATGATGGAATGCTGTAATAGCTGCAAGGTGTACTCTGATGGAACTCATTAGATTAGAGCCCAATTCCTTGAGTTCTAATATATAATCCAGTACATAAGGTAGACTGCTGTGATTTGTCTATTTTGGCACCATATAGTGAATCATCTCCATTTGTGCAGGTATGTTTGTTGGGTAGTTGGTCTATGACTATTTAACAGAATGTCCTGTACTTCCTCTGAGCAGGTCATTTCAGTTTCTTGGAGCCATGGAGTAGCCACACTTTGAGATGGAGTCTTGTGAGGTCGGGATGGTGAAGCTGGCCCACATTTTGTGAGAGGAGA